ATATATATATATATATATATGTAATGATTAATAATGTAAAAATTAAAAAAAATCTTCTAAAGAATTGTGAATTTTATATTTTAAATAAATTTTCTATCTTCTATCGAATCGATGGCAGAGAAGAATCGATCAATCATCGATTTGCACAACGTTAGCCCTTCGACTATCTCGAAAATCTTTGATCGAGGCTCTCCCTCGTTATCCAAAATTTACACTCGGCTAATTGCATTTCGCGTAAGTGCTCGGTCGGGAAGACGATTGAAAAGTAAGAGATTACCAATTTGGCGAAACTTCGTTTGGGCGGGACAAGTTTAAAACTACATTTAAATATTTAAATAGAATCGAGTTGCGAGTTGAACTCCTGCCATCAGTTTCACTACCAGGTTTAACGTGATTACAAAGTTGCCACGGTTTACTCGGTCTCCGGGAACAACGAACCACCGAATATAATACGCGAATAATCAGGCGTAATTCCTCGTGTCTTGTAACAAACGATTATAAGCCGAAGGAATTGTGGCAAAAACAAAAAGGAGGGTGGGGGAGAATTTAATTAAAACGATATCTCCGTGTTAACGAAATCAATAGGGGGTGAAGAGCAATAAGGGGCAAGTGGGAGTCCGAAAAGTCAATAGAACGTGGAGGGAACCCTGTGGAGGAAATCACGGCAATAAATACATGGAAGAGACGAGTGGGACAAAGGAGGGGATGGGAAACGTTCATGTCGGAAGATTTTTCTTTGTGCTACGCGTGCTACCTCTCGGTTACACAATTCTTCTTCATCGTTTTTCGCGTGTCCCTGCGATTAAGACGGAAGGTTTGTTTTCAGAGTCGTGCTCGAAGGGTGGAAAACAGGAGAGAGAGAGAAAGAGAGAAAGAGGGTCAGTATCGGGGGCTCGACGAGGACAGAGCAATAGGAGAATATGGTGAAAAGAAAAGAGAAAGATTTTCCCTGAAACTGAAAATGGGAGAGCACGTACGTGACTGATAGACCAGAGAGGGAAAGAAAATCCACGGGCAAACGTATTAACAGTGATGGGAACGATATACCTTCTAACTAGGTTTATGGAACTATTGCAAAAATTAAAAAATTCATTTTTACATTCATGAATTTAATGATCCAGTATGTGAAATGTTTTTCTATTTTAATATATGAAAATATTAAACTACTATTAATATAAATATCATCTACATTTGATCAAATCTTTCGATTGCTAAATTAATTTCGTGTAACAGAGCGAGAAGAGAAAACGAGTTAGTAAGTAAAGTAGCAAAGATTGTACAAACAGGGGAGCAAATAAGTGACTAAAGGTGAGAAGTAAAAAAAGAGGAGAGGCAATGTTGAAAGCCAAAAGAAGAAGAGATATAGAGATGGGAAAAGAAAAGATTGAGAATGGGATGTAAACGAGGGACGAGAAAGACGAGCAATAG